AGGGAAAGCTCATTTCCTGTATTCTCTTTAGAATGTGCTGCACAGTAGGTTCCCCCATTGTCTGCAGTGATTGTCATAGTTCATACAATAGAAGTACATGTTCTCTAACATACACAAGTAGGCTGTACAGCAAAATATCCCCCTCAGTAGTACTACTGCTGTACTAGCACTGCCAAAGCCCATGAGCCAAGCCAGCCAATGCAAACAATTAAGGAGCCACCTGTGCACCCAAGAATGGTACTACACAGAGAGAAATGGTTTAATTAAAAGTCTGTCTTGGAGCTGTAGGTCTTGCTGCTGCCATCCCCAAAACCACTCAATAAGGAAGCAGTTGGTTTACAAAGCTCCAGGAAGCTGGTTATGGCCCAGACTACTACCTATTCATGACTACTTGAATTACAGTTTATTGTTTTGTCCCCAAGTTCATTACTGTATGAAAAAGTAACACTGGCTTTCCAGAAACACAGTATAGGATCATGAGGAATGATGGGATAAACTTTTAACCTTTGGACATGGTACGCAATTAATTCGACAATGCATCAGGTCTGGCCGCAGTGCAAAGTGTGTATTACTCATACAGCTGACCACCTAGTTCAAAAGAAATCCCATTGTCTGTAGAACCAATGACTCGGAAGCAAAACTGCAGCTACTTTGACATGGCTACTACATGCCACTTACTATAAAAGGTACTTGTTTCAAAGGCTACTCCCACCCTGCCCTGAACCCAAATCCTCAGCAATCTATAATGCTGTTACATGGAAATCCCAGGGTGAATTTCTGAGAGACTGGAATGTTACACTACTGTAACCGCAAGCTAAAAGATGTGCTGGGATAATAATCTAACCTAGCAAGTGAACTCAGTTAACAATTGGTTAAAAATGCTGTTGGTAAACACAGAGATTTACATTAATCTTAAAACTATTAGCGACTCACTCTAATTAAGACAACTGCTTTGGTACAAAAGCTGATGCCTCAGTTTAATGGAAGGTAAGAACAAGAAGGCATTATGTTAGAATAGTGATTCTCAATCAGGGTGCCATAAGATCCTTTTAAGAGTGCCACACAACATTAGCATCTACAAGATTAACAAGATAAACCCAGAGACTTCAAATAGGAATCCACAATGTCCAAAAGTATTCTGATCTATTGTCTTTCTGATTTATTTGCAACAGAATACATGCTCTATTATTTTTCTCAGTCAAAAAATTAATGAAAAGGTAAGAGCTTGCATTTTCCAAGAGATGTGTTCAACTGCATTAGGGAGATGAGTAGATGAGAAGTCTCCTACCCTCTTGTTTTCAACTGCACACAACTTAACCTCCCTGCACACTAATTGTTAAATTGTTTGTATTAGATTGTATTGTGAACCAGAATAGATTCAGACAAATTTATACAAACTTGGGAGGAACTGCTGTGTAAAGTTCTCCAATCTACTACATCTTACTAACACAAAACAACATTTCCTGTAACAGAGGATCCGTTCTCCACAACGACTAGTTAGGAAGACATTACTTTATTGTACTTGTCACTGCAACCTGTTCTCATATACAAAAAATTAGTTTCACTCCAAAATATTTGTATTCTGCCACTGCTTAATGATTCCCCAAAGGCTTTCCCTACCCTCTGCTTTTGGCATTGTTTTCCTTCATTTGCTCTCTCCTCTTTTTAAAAATGTGATTATTACTTCATTGTTAACCCATCACATTCAAGAGGTTGCACAGAAAGACTGGTAGTTTTACTCGGCTCTAGAAGCCAGAGATCAATACATATTAGCACTAACTAGTGGAAGCATTTGATTCAGAGGATTAGGTTACATATATTTTTACTTACTGTCTTGGATCAGTTTCATACTTTTTGAGGGCATCTGAGCAGTCACAGCTTGGGAGAGTATCAGGTAGCAAGGCAATTCAAAATTTGGCCCATTTTCCGCCCCATCAGGCCTTGCCAATTTATAGTGAGATTTAGTTACTCGCTGTACTCTGCTTAATGCAGTGGCAGTTTTACTTGTAAGCTTACCTAGTTGGAGGAAGCACAGCATCATTCTAGTTACTGAAATGGAAGGCTAATCTCATTTAGTAAGCAAATGCTGCTGCAAGATGCTTGCTGTGAAAGAACAGAGGGAAGTTCAGTGAAATGCATTTGACATCCCTTAATTTAAGATTAACAAGCAGTGTGGAAATACTAGCTTGTAACAAAATTAAGATGAATTAAGTTAACTCACTGCAGTGTAGTTAATTTTTAAAAAGAAGCACCACATGGACCTCTATGCCTGGGAAGAGGTCACTTCCTTGCTTAAGCACTATATGGCCAACGTGCTCTGCCTGTGTTCCACATGAAGGGGAAGCTGCTAGTTCCCTATAAGTAAATAATTCCCTTCATCCACCATCTTCAAGCAGAATTAAAGTTTCCCTTAAAAAAATGTTGAAATACTTTTAGATGTGCTGCTTAAAAACAATGTCAAATGGCAAAGTCTGATGCTGTGTCTAGCAACCAGTCATCAGCTCTTGCGCTCTGGTAGTGTGTGTTCAGACTCGGGGTTGACCAAGACTTCCTAGTTGACAGACCCGTCATTTCCTGGTTCATCGCTGAGCAATGGCGCTGCATCTGCAGGTTGCCGGTCCTCATGTTCCACAGGCGATCGTTTTGTTGTTCTGTTCAATGTGCCCCCCTGGCAATTCATAGAAGCAGACAGTGAAAAAACAGAAACCCAAGCAGCTTGTCCAAGATCCAGTCTAAAGAATAGAGTAGATAGCCTTTTAATTGATAGCTGGGTCTTCAATATTTTGTGAAGCTCATTTTGGGGGAAGGAATGGGCTTGAAACTCCCAATTGCTACACCTCTACCTTGGGCAGAGCATCAACATTGGAAATACTGCATAGGTTTACAGAAGATTTTACAACCATCAGTAGTGCCTCTCCAGAGTCAAAAGGAGAATCCTTCCACATCCAAATTCTGCACTACCCATTTCAGAGATGTTGTTTTTGAAACTACCACATTAGTAGCAAAGTTTACACTTAAGAAGCACACTAAAGTTGAAAGACACCTGATGTTCAAGTCAATAAGTCGTGACAGAAATGGATGATGAAAGCATAAGCGTGTTCTTACCTGCTTCCTGTCCACCACATTAAGGCTAACAGAGGTGACAATACATACAATGGTGTTTGCCAGCATAAAAATCATCATCTGCTGCCAGCGCCACAGTGGGATCTTAAGTTCACTGTTGGGGGTCAAGGACAAAACTAGTCACCCTATGAAGACATTTACTTCCTTCTTGCTTAAATACAGTTAAAATGAAGCATTAGCATAACATCTTGAAACTCTGCCTCATTTAAGCCACAAACAAAACTGGCTTTTCAGTTTCAGACCATAATAGCACCGTTACCAGGATTTGCTTAGAAAATGAAAGGCAGTAGCTCTTACCTAGACTTTGTTCCCAGAATGTGTCCAACAATCAAGTTTGAGAGGCCAATTCCAATCATCTGCACAGAGGTCGCAAGCCCCATAGCTGTTCCTAGAGTGGCCTGGGGTACCACAAGGGGTATGGATGGCCACATACTAGCCTATTGCACAGAATAAAGAGAGAAGATAACAGACATTTTTTTCTATTCTATTGAGACACTGTCTAAAGAACTCTGAACAACTCAAGCCCTAGCTTTAAAGGTGTTAGCTTATCACTGGGGTAGGCAATTATTTGGGTCGGAGGGCCAATTAGGGAGTTTTGGTGAACTGTCGCAGGCCAGGTCAATACCCCTCCCCGCAACAGCTCACCAAAACTCCCTAAGTGGCTCTGCTCCGCGCTTGGCCGGTTAGCTGGGATGGGACCGTGGGCAGGCAGGAAACAGCATTTGGGAGTGAGACAGGCAGGTGGGACTGGAGCTGGCATTCACAGGGCCATGACAGCACAGGGCTGGGAGCCAGGGCAGAGCCACAATCAAATTCCCTGTACGCCCCTGCAATGGGCACCAGTTCCATGGGCAGGGCCATGCTGGGAGTGGATTGCAGCTCTGCCCCGAGCTGTCACCCCACGCTGTCACTGCTCTTTGATTCTGGCTGGGACCTGCACGGGTGGGGCATGTGGCCAGGCAGATGGGATGGAACTGTGGACAGGTAGGGAGCTGCATCCAGGAGTGGGACAGGTGGGTGGGGCCTGGGTTAGGATTGCAGGGCAGTGACAGTGTGGGGGTGGGTCCCAGGCCTGGGCCCCACAGCAGAGCTGCAATCCACTCCCTGCATGCCCCTGCCCATGGAACCAACACCCATTGCAGGAACATGCAGGCAGCAGATCACAGTCTGCCCTGGGCCCCGGCCCCATGCTGTGACCACCCCGTGATCCCAGCCCCACCCGCCCATAGTCCTATCCCATCTGCCTGGCTGTATGCCCTACCTGCACAGGTCCAGCCCCCAGCAGTGGGTGTGAGGCAGATGGGCCAGGGTGCCTGGGCAGTGGGATAGGTCCAGCAGCAACAGCAGCCAGAAGGAACCACCACTGGGGTTGCAGGGAAGCAAGTCCAGCTGCTGTGCTGCCCCGACCCAGATGCGCGTCCAAGGACAGTATGACTGGCTACGCTCACCATGGCCCAGGCTGTACCATGTGCCTCGGCCAGATGGAGCGGAGGAACCCGCTGCAGGCTGGAAAAAATTCGTTGGTGGGCAGGATCTGGCCCACAGGCCATCTTTTACCCACCCCTGGCTTATCAGCAACTGGGAAGAAAAAGTTGTCCCCAAAACACTTTTTGTTGCTATTTAAACCTTCCTTCTAAGCATCCAAAATTGACCATTATCTATCCAGAGCCTGCAATTTGATAGTCCAACATCCTCTTTCCAGAAGCTGCACTGGTCAGCTTAGAGCATATGTGCAATTTGGGATCAGGTTGTTCCAGTTTCAAATGTCAGAGCAGCTGATCAGAGAAGCTGGAATTCTGCTCAGGTGGTGGCAAAAAAGAAAGCTATTGCTTTAATGCTTCATTCAGATAATGCCAATAGGTTCCTTCATCTATTTTGTGTTATACTGGGGGACTGATCCTTTGGGCATTTGTTACCAACTAAATCCTCTGGGTTCTGCAAATCAAAGATGTACAGCAATAAGCTGCTAGCATACCCAAAAGTACCCCCTGATTAATCTGATGTGCTAGTGTCTAGAAAGAGGATGGCAGAGAGCATTGCCACAATATAATCTGGCAATGCAGGGGGTTCAGCATACTTACAGCAGCAAAGGAGTAAGTGATCCCCAGCCATATGGTAGAGACAAGTGGAGGAACAAATGTGAATGCCAGGAGAGCAAAGACTGGCAAAGTCAGCACAGCACAGCCAACTGCAAACACACCTCTCAATCCAACATAGTCCTGGTGAAGTAAGGAACAGGTTATTCAAAGACAGACCATTTCAGAAAGGCGCCAGATCTCTTATTTTCAATGAGAGTATGTAAGAGTGTTAATTTAGCTATGGGAAAGAGACCTAAAGAAGCATTCCCAGTTCCTCTCACGTAGCAAGAGGAACAGATGAGTCTGAAGTCTGGCAAAGAGTCTTGACATTTAGAATCACCTGGATTTTGAAATATCAGGGTTCTATTTGCAAGACAGCATGTTGCATTTTAGTGAAAGTTAGGGACTGGCAAGTTAGACTTAACACGGACTGGTGTATGCCTACTACCCTTTTCCCATTCATGTACAAAGCTCTGCCAATTACCTCACTATTTCAGTCCAGAGCTTCTCATGAGCATATGGGTACTCATATCCAGTTGCACAATACCTCTACAACAGGAATTAAGAGGAGCAGAGATCAAGTGTGTCACTTGTGACCCAATTTAGATTAGTAACCTGAGAAATTTTGCTTCAAACCAGTCCATAAATCTCTTGCATCAGTAGTGACCTACCTCTGGGGCCCTGTTTTTTAAATTAGGCACATATAATCTGCCAAAAACACAGACTATGGTTTGTACTAGGCCTTGAGGTGTGAGCCAACAATCCATCGTGTAACTTGTGTTTTAAGTAATGATACTCACAATTAATATGCCAACTGCTGCAGAGAGAACAAGAGAACTGTCATATACTGCTCCAGCAATGTAAGCGGCTGCCTGCTGACTGTAGCCAGAATACTTATCCTGGATAAACTTGCTAAAAATAAAATTGGAAGGAAAAAAAGTTACATAATTAGGATTCTTCGTCTGGTTATCTTGGCATGAAGCAAGTCAGTGCAGGCATCATCTGGACAGGGAGGACTTTCCATGGACTAGAGGATTTGCCAAAGCACTAATTCAACTCAGTTTGGTCTGTAGTTCTGCATTATCTGTTTTTTAAGAGGTGGATGATGACAGTGGGCAGTCAAGTCAGGCTTGTGATCCATCTTGCTTCTCTGCAATGGCCAAGAGAGGTCTAAGCATTTGGAGAACTGGAGGAGGTGGGAGGGGTAGTTAACTTTGAAACACCAAGATTGGTTTGTCTTTGCCCAGTAACTTATATGGCTACAATTCAGGGTTTGGCGGGGGTTGTTTGCTTCTTTAGGAGAGATGAGGCTCGCTGTACTGTAAGCTTCATAGTTCAGCAACAGCAAAATGCTGTCCTTTGCAGTTTTACTGTGATAGATTGAGCTAATCAATAACACAGAAGGCACTGGGACCACAGTTCTTATATGGGAAATGAGCCTGAAATTAAGTTACCAATAGAAATGTTTGCAGGGAAAATGACTTTAAGCCTAGGGTTGCGTAGTGTTTCATCCCGTGACAGAATACAGGGAGAAAGCTTTGCAACAGTCACGTCTACAGAGATGGTTGGTGCCAACTGTGGTTAAAGCAAGCGACAGAGAAAGAAAGCTCATTTCAGGGGGCATGCCAAGATCCTGGTACTGTTCATTTTACTTTTACTGGATTCTGATACTAGGCCCTTGCTTGTTGATGATTGCAGCATGCTTTCGGTGACATTGCTTCATCCCATACTGCCAAATGGTTTGTTAGCAGTAAAAGCATAAAGGAGTTATTGCACCTTTCATTCAAAAAATCTCCGGGCACTTCCTTAATACAAAACTTCACAACCCTCCTGTGGGAAGTAGCATTATATCACAATTTTGCAAATCAGAAAAACAGAAGGGAAAAGGACTTTCCTCATGGTCACAGAGGGTCTGTCAGACCCAGAGGAGAATGCAGGATTCCAGACTCACTGCTGTCCCTCCTACTGGATGCCTTTGGAAGTGTGTATGGGAACTGCCATGCACAGCAGTTATAATACATTCCTTATCTTAAAAGATGCTTGCTGCTGGCCACCCTCTAGACCAGCTGCTCACGCACATGACTGTCTGAGCCAAGTATTTTGGGGAAGGTGCAATAGTTCTGAAGTGAATCCAAATCCATAGGGGCTTTCATCCTTCCTTCTGTTGACTTTGCCACTGCAGTAAGATGTTTTGCCTAAACGCATTTATGCTGCCAGACCAAATGGCGCCAGAAGCTGACTATTCTACATACACACACTTCATGAGCCCTTCATATAATGGCTGCATAGATTCTTTCCTTGCCATTTCCACACCTAGGTAAAGGGAGAAGCATTCATCTTTGGGAAAGTAAATTTGGGTTTTAGAGCTTAAAGCTTTAGCAGTTTAAATCCATTCAAATTTCTTTAAGGCTGCTTTCTCTGCTCCATATAACAAATATCCCTCCCCCAAACTATCATAGATGGTTTATAAGTTTAAGGGACAGAAAAGTCAAAGGACCCTGATGTTCTGTGACCGAATATTAAGGAGATTGCTTGGCAACAGCTGGCTATGATCACAAAAACAAGCACATGACCCGCCCCCCAAAACCCCCTCCTCCAATAACGAGCTTGTGTTGCAAAGCTTCCACTCCTAAGATTCCCCAATTGACTGAATGAAGAGATGGAGAGGATGAGGCTGGACTGTGTTAGCTTTGTATCCAAATAACAATGTGGGGAACATTACCAGCCCCAATGCAACCACCATTCCCATAAGTACCTGGCATCTGCCACAAATGGGAAGACCCCATTGTAAAAGAACATGATGGTGAGAACCAGAAGCCAGTAGCGAAGTGGCAGTCGACGGACATCCTGAACCCGCTGCAAAGAGAAAGATCCCTTAGATCAGGCAGGAGGCAGACTACTTTTAACCTCACCATCTTACTTCCTTTACATTATAGAGCATTAGAGGGTCCAACAAGGGCTGCTGGTGAACAGTGTTGAAACACAGGTCGTTCTCTCCGAAGTTTCCAGAACTTGCTATGTATTTCTCCCTATATCCTTCCCTTCTTTAGCTCAGAAAGTCAAAGTCCAAAGTATCTTTGTAAACTTTGCTAGATTGAACATCTATATGGCAGCAAGAAACTTCTGAGCAGAATGTGCTTTGACCAGAATAAAAGCTGGAGTGAAGCACAGCAGGGGTGAGAGTATGACAGGGAGCTACTAAGAAAAGGGAAGTATCCAAGTCTGATCAGCAAAAACTTCCCTCACAGGACAGTCTTTGGTAGTGTATGGGATCTAAATGTCAGGAAAAGAGGATAGCCCAATTGCCCACAATATTTATAACCAGACAGAAAAAGCAGAAGAAAACCTAGCATAAGGATTGTTTCTGTCTCAGCAGGAAAGTGTCCTCACTGTTAATAAATAGCCATTTTCCACCACGGTCCTGTGAACCCCATACAGAAGCACCTTCTAAAACAGCTGGTATCTAATCTTTATCTTAAGCCACTGTTTGCTGGCACATTATCCCATGCACTCCAAGTGCAAGCTCTGGTCTCTAGGAAGCCAGCACCTTTTATTCTCCTTGTTTAGTTCTCCTTCTGGCTAAGACTTCTCTGCACCTTGGTCACACAAAACAGAGCCCAAGATGAAAGCAAATTTCAGCTTGCCTAGCCCAACCCTGACTGCTCTGGAGGAAAGAGCCATCTGGTATTCCACATACCACTTTTTTGGACTCTTGCTGGATAACCCCATCCAATCCAAGCTGCTTCATTCCCACTTTGTCCAGCATGCTGACTGTGATGGCCGAAATAAATCCAAGCGCACACAGCAAAGTACCTGCAAAAAGAATGTACTTCAAGATTTTCCTGTGGTGGAGAGAACTGAATGACAAAGTCCATTTTATGTTACTGGCTGAGCCCCCTTATGCAATTTGCATAACTGCTATTCTCCAACATCATCATCTGTCTACTTCTATTCCAGTCACAAGTGGGAACCTTTGCACTGCACGGATCACTACGCAGCCTTCAGAATTGCCAATTAAACCCTCAAGACCCTAGCTCCACAGCTACCAATATCCCAGGCTAGGACAACTAAAGCACTTTGCTAGAGACATCTTGCTGCTAAAACAAAAACAAACCCAAATCATCTGCAGGAATTTCTGTTGGGATACAAAAGGCTTCTAACACCTAACTGGAGCTGCCAATGCCAGTTCCACTTTATCCTCAGAAATGAGTTAAAATTAAAGAAAAGAATCCAGGAAATACAGAAAAGAAAATTACTTCTAGCCCCAGGAGCTGTAGTTGTACCTTCACCAGTCTTTAAAACACTGACACTGGTAGTTTGAGGATCATAATATTTAGATGTTAAGATTGAACCCCCCCACCCACTCATTTCTGATCTTTATGCTGTTCATTTCTCTCAGGACACTAAGAACAATCTTGTCTATTTCCCTTTCATGCACTGGGGTGAAAGACTGGGTTGCAAACACCACAGGGCAAAGTTTAGAGCCGAACACATTTTTCATTTACTATAAAGAGTTCTTAGTTATGTCTGTTTACAGACAACCTCCTCTATCTTTTCCTTACATATAGCAGAAGCATCTGTACATTTTTAATCCAGATTTTTAAAGTCTTGGTTATTGAGAATAGCTAAGGAAACTTTGATGTCTGTGTGACCAGGAGAGGATAACACACACAGTATTTGGAAGACAAAAAAACCCAAACAAAAACAACACTCCTCATTTGAACCCAATGAAGCACTTGCAGATGCAGCATATCTAACCAATGTAAGGAGGCCCTGCTACAAAGAAAGGAAATCAGTGAAGATACACTGGGATGTGACCTAAGTGTCTGTAGCAAACAAGCCATTTTTCTAGCTGAATCCTTTAAAATAGTGTATTTAATTCTCCCAAATACAGGATATTGAAGCTATTCTGATGCTGCTGTTGTGTGTCAGAATACAAACAAACAGCACTGAATTAAATACATAAAGGCAAATTTATTTAAGTACAGCTGTTTAACAAATCCTCTCTGCAAGCCAGTGGCAAGGTTTTCAGCTAATCCTCACATTTGCCTGCTTGCCTGGAAGTTATGTTCCTGTACAACAACATTTACTTACCAACCAACAATACAATTAGCCAGATTCCTTGGAGCCTTGACACTCAACAAAAACACAGCTATGGAATGATTACCATTGTCACATATCTAAGGTCATAACTAGAACACCCAAGCAACATTCCAACCCTTGTCCATACCTTCTGCTAGACAAGGATCCCACTTGTCATTATAACAAGGGAAAATACTCAAGCAACCTCAAGCCTTGAGCAAAACTGCATCAGAGACTTGGAAGTGAGAATTCCATCCCACTTCTCTACCGAAGGGAGGCTCTAACTGTAAATATGTAGGATTTTTTATACTGGTCAGTACACAGGAAAAACTACCACTAATTCAGTAAGAAGCTACTGGAGTAGAGAGAGTGAGAGAGAAAGAATAACCATTGGCATCCCTCCCAGGTAGCTGTTCAATTGTACTCTGACAGATGCTCATTTATTCAGTGGGAAAAGACACACCTATACAAGTGCTCATGCATGACTGCAGGCATTCTAATATCACAGTAAGTGCGAAAGAGGCAAAATGCTGCAACCTTAAAGGAAAGCTCCAGGCAGTAATGGCCATCTGTCCATTGTGCCCTCAGGCTAGAAGTGCTGCTGGGGAAACACAGCCCCACTTCCAGTAGTTTCATTACCTCTTCCATGTATCTTTTTTTTTTTTAAATCAGTCAGACTTAATCATTGCTATTTTGAGGGGGCCTAGAGCCACATAAAACAGAATTCAGAATGAAACTAACCTCCCCAGAGTGTCCACTGGATACCAAAGTGGCTCTCAAACTGCTGGGTGAAGAAGAAGTTGAGTACACTCCCCAGCCGAGAGAAAGACAGGGTCAAACCAAATGCCAAGGCCAGTTCCTTCCCCTTAAACCAGAAGGCCGTGATGCGATTCTGCACAACTTGGAGTGGAGAGGAAGAAGGTCTGTGTTAACAGATGTAGCAGAAAATGTTATGCGTCTTCCCAGTCCATTTTCTTTGGGCCAGATGGTTTTGGTGGCAAAGAGTCTTTGATACTAATTGTGCACCCTACTTAAAGTGACCCTTAGCATTTGTAGGTGTAAGTGGGGGCTGACTGACTTCCCAAAACCTGAGCTATAGCTTTCATACTGCAACTATTGCTCCTACAAAAGAACAAAGACTGGTTATGATGGTACACAATACTCAGAGAACAGATTAAAACGATATGATTTGCCATTAGGCAGACCAAACACTCCATCATCACCAAAGGCTCCAGGCACAACCTGTGAAATTCTGAACAGGGATAGAGCCCAAATATCCTTTGTCCTGAGTGGGATCTAACTAGGGTAGGAATTTTTGGATTCCTTACTGGTAAGTGACCCATTCCCAGATCCAAACAGTAGTCGTCCTGTCAGCATCATTGGCAAGAGATAGGGTGTTCCCTTGAAGTGAGAGCCCAGAGCAAAGATGGAGGATCCCAGGACAGTTAGAAGAGAGAAGACAAAGACGCCAACTGGGGAACAAAGCAGAAAAATATGTTGAAATTAAGACACAACATAGAATATTATTGCACAACAGTAAAGTTTTCAATGATCTCTGATTTTTTAACTTGGAAGTGACAGCTAAATTCTTGCATCTTACATCAAACTGACTCTAATGCATATTATTTTGCCACTGTTTTGGAAGACTGTTTGCTTTATAGTGAGGGAAACATTGTTTAGAATCAAAGAAGGCTTCTGCAGCTCAAGGACAGGTTTATAAATTCCAGACTTATAAGTGTTACTCCTAACTTTGCCACTGACTAGGGCCTCTTAATTATCTGTGTATCAGCTGGCCCAGCTCCTTAGGCAGGCTTGCAACTTGATAAAGAGAGAAAAATAAAGAATGCAAAGCTACCAGGTTGTTGCTGTAAGAGTACTTATGTTTCTAGATCAAGGATCACAGCAAGTTCCAGGCTTGTCCCTCGCCTATTTTACTGTGCGCCAGAAGAAACAGGTTACTGAACTACTGTACTTTTTGTTTTACTGTTCTAATGATCCACAACCAAGCATGAGGCCATAGGGAAAACTTTGCACATTCTTTGTGTTCTGTTCCACGAAGCAGATCTAGGAACCCCTACATACGTTACATCCTGCAAACATGCCCTATTTCATGCCTCCGAACCTAACTAAAACAAGAGTCTGCCATGGGAGCAATATCCCCAACAGCTTGAAAAGTCATCTCTGTGCCAAAAAAGAAGATCCTACAATCCTAAAAGAAAGACTCTAATTAGTCAGGACTTACAGCGATTTCCCAGTTTGTCAATCAGGAATCCAGCTACAACCACCACCAATGCATTACTAGAAAAACAAGAACACAGACATAGATTCACAGAAGTTTAGGGCTGGAAGGGACCTTGTGAGATCATCAGGTCGAGCCCCCCTGCTCTGGCATTTTATTTTACTGCCAGTAGGCAACCCATGCATCATGCTGCCCTCCCCTAAACAAGAGAAATGTGACTCACGTCCAGGCATAGATTGCATACAGCAAGTTGTACTGTGCAGGTGTCATCCCCAGGCCTTCCACACAGTCCAACGTACCATTATGTCCAGTGCCGTTATGTTGGGTTCCATTGGGGCAAGTTAGGTTCTACATAACAAGTCAATACAAACAGTCTGTATTGCAACAGCAAAGGAAGACCAATCAAGTGAAGAGAATCAATACGTCTCAGAATTCATTTCAACTTTCCTCTTAAGCTTACATCTCCCACTCTACTCCCAACATGACATATGGGATCAGAAGGCTTTCAGTGGGCTCATGCACAAGACCATCATTAAGATGTTCTGAATGACATGCAACAATTTCTTTGGAATCATAGGAAAATATGGCAGTACCTAGCTAATTCTCACCAGCAGCTGGGAAGTCTAACAGGAATTCTTGTGGTTCTGCTTTTTTCCCCCTACTTTGATGGAAGCTGTGGGAGCTCTGCTCCGCTTGGAAATATGCCACTGAGATTAGCGTCGAGAAAAAAGGCAAGGATACTGCACCACAAAACATATTTGGTCCATTTTATTTCCTCAGTCCTAGCTTAGTTTTTAAGAATTTGATACTTTGTAAATGCAGCAAAATGTTCTGCAGTCAGTTCATAAAATTAATGACGCTTCAGCAATACAAGACCTTGTTCCAGTTGCCCACCATCAAACCTTTGCTGAAAAGTAGGACAAGACTCCTCCTAACTTGGCACAAAGTTAGCAAGGCTTTCCTATATTTTCAAAAGAGAATCCTAATTTATTCTACCAAAAGGCAGCATTTCCTCACTAGTAAAAGGGATGATCAGGACCACAGCAGAAGTTTGATGACTCAGGTCTATTGGGGACATCCACAGTGGCAGGCAGACCTAGTGCCTTCAAATGATCAGGGAATGCAGCATCCCAGCCATAAAAAAGAGCCTGAAAAACATTTTGACAGTGGATCACATTTTTCTACAGTCACCAGAATGACTGGCTGCTTTAGCAGAAATTCTGAAAGCCAGTAGAGAAAACCAGCTAGAATAAGACTTTTTCCCCCATCACTAGATTTAGAGTCACAAATGCAGGTGCACTGGAGATGCCTCTGTTTGTACACAACTGCAAGAATTAAGTGTGGTATACACATAGCATGCCAACATCTCTCTCATATAGTATTACCGGAGGGCTCACAGACCCCAACCAACAGTGGGCAAGGTGCTGCCCTAAACTGTGTACAATTAGAGAAATAAGACAGAGAGAGGGGCATAATTTCCTAATTTTAAAGGTAAATAACTAACATGTAGACATTAACTGATTTGCCCAAAATCTCACAGGAAGTCTGTGGCAGCAAGGAACTAAAACAAATTCCTAAGTGACAATCCAGAACCTTCATCACAAAGAAGTGGTAAAAAACACTCTGAATCTGATATAGCATGGGGTCTATTCAGAGATCTTTACCATCTCAGTGGATAATGAATGCTTGCAGTCCTTTTGAAAGTCACATGCCCAGTCACATAAGGGTATGGAGGCAGATACATTTGGAGCAGAAAGTTTCAAAGGCAGCCCCTGTTACATTCTAATGGCTACATGTGGACAAGCTAGGAATGATACAAATATAGCAAAGCCACTGTAATTTTAATAATACTTCATCCAGGGTTCAAACTTAAGTGGTTTTGATCCATTTATATCATTCAAAGCTTATCCACAATTAACCATTAGAACAATGGTTCTCAGTTTTTTTTAGACTTGAGGCATCCTTCCATAACTTCTGTGAATTGACTGGCACCCAATTTCAAAAACTTATTTACATATTCCAGTGCTTAATGCCTTGCAGAGGGGTCAGGCAGGGGGTTGAGGCATTAGCCAGGCAAGGACAACCCTGATCTTATCTTCTCATGCCTCGTGGGACCCTTCAAAGGATCTGGCAGCACCCCTGGGTGCCATGTCACTCTGGTTGAGAATCACTGCATTAGCATGCAACAGTTACTGCCTTTTGAAACTGTTCTAAGTGTATGTGTGTCCATACCCATAATGCTCTCTCTTGGCTAAGCTTTTCCATCTTTTCTAGTCAGGCCAGTTTATCAACAGCAGGTGGTGCACATGAGCAAACTGAGCTCTCTCCTAGAGTTTGCTAACAATAATGATCATTGACAGAGATAAGCAACAAATATATGTTGGTGCCTTGAATCTCAGTCTCCAGCAAAACAATACAACATAACAACACTCTGCCCTCCATGGAGAGTACTTTACTCTGCAATACAGAAAGATCTTTAAAGAAATGCATGAGAGGTTTGGTGGAGATTAGTTGGAAAACTAAATAATAAAAGTCTACTTGAATTTGAGAGCATTGTTAATTTTACATCTCATTTTAAATCACAGATCCACTAGCAGCCAGTTAAATGCCATGATTTATTTGATTTAGAACTTTTTTATTAATATAATTACAAGCACACCTACTCTTTCCAAATTATGTTGTGAAATCAACAGAAACTATTTTTTGGTAAAGTACCACAAGCATCTATGGTTCCATAAAAACACTAAAAACCTGTACAGGATACTGACTGCACGGGAAAACTGCTGAACTGTAACATGCACAAAGGTCACCTTATAACAAGCTAGTTTGGGGTTCCAAGTTTTTCTCCAACCAATACCTAAAATTCATACCTTGTATTGTTTGTGCTTGCTCTGTACATACCCCTATCTTGCTTAAACTATCTATAGCTCTATTCTGGACAAAGGAATCTGTCATAGCACATACAACTGACAATATAATCTTCACAGAACAACCTCTCAAATTGTCTGGATCTTTTTTAATTGCATTTGTGATTGAGAATCTTTCTTTGCAATGCATAGACCATTTTGCAGTCTCCTCTTAGATTATAATCAATAAGATTCTGCAAAGATTATCTTGCTTACAGCAAGCTAGTACTTACCCCTTGGAATTGCTCTTGCAGGACACTGGGAATATCAAAGCAGAAATAAGAGCCAAAGGTCAAGAGGCAGTTGAAGAAAAGCACTACGAACCTGTAGTAAGCTGGAGAGTGAACAAATTTGGCATTATTCTGTATTACAAACAAGTGTTAGCTTGACCTGAAAAATGATTAAAAATACAATATGTGCAGAGATGTTCCAATGTACTGCAATATCTGCTATTTCCCATCCCTGTGCTGCTTTGTTTGCTCCTCTTTCTTTCCTAAACCCTGACCCTGCAGCTGGATCTGCACAGAAGGACCTTTGTGCCTTTGCAAGACTTCAGTTTTGGTGTGATTCCACTTAAACATAAATGACTGGCTGCATGAATCTGACAATAATAAGCTCTTATTGGGGGCAGACATTTCTCTAAAATATATAGAAAGTATCATGCATATCTATGGTGTTTATAAGCAAGATTCACTTTACAGTGAAACAGATTAAGCATACTGGTTATCAAGTATATGGTTTATGCCAGTCTATCCAGTACTCTACTTTGATTTTTCAACTTATTGGAAGATAGAAATAGATATTTGAAAATGTGCAAGTAAATACAACTCTTCCACCTATTCTGGGCAGAACCAATTTTTGCCAGGAGGCTGCCTGCAGAATTAATACAAATGTGCATCTCCCCCTGTGCAACAGCATGCATATAGACAGCTTGCAGTGCATGCTGAGAGCTGCTCTCTCTGTGGGCTGCTATTTCAGAGATGCAGACAACAGTATTGTTCCCCAGGGCCCCAGGGACCTTTGAGAGCAGTACCCCTCAGAAAAAGCGGTAAGATTCAGGGTGTTCCTAATGGAGCATGGGAACTGCCATGCTGCAGCTCTCTCAGTCTGCACTTGGTGAATCCAAGCAGGGAAGCCTCTGCAGTGTGCGAAGGCTCCTTAATAAGGCACTTGGAAACCAAAGTGGCCTCCCATTTCCTGAGAGGCAACTAACCAGCCCTCTCCCACCCAAACTGTTCCACATCTCTCTGTCTGCCTCCCTACAAGGCAAGGGCACATCACAGATGGAGAGTATATATATTTTTTCCAAGTATATGCAATGTATTCTTTGCAATATATGTAAAGCATATATGCAAAATAATTTTAAAAATCCATTAAGGTGCATAAGGAAGCAACATGCTACTGCAATTGTACGTGCACCCTCACTCACAGGCTTTAAGCAGTCTGGGAATACACATCTTGTAAGTTCTACTGATGCTTAAACGCAGGATATGGAGCACCTGCATTAGGGATGGGAGGAAGTGTTACTGGTATTAGCAAGTGTAAACTCAATCCCAGAAGCCTTTTGCCTGGGTACAGTAACTTAGTCCCCCTCTACCTGTGCAGGGTAAGGCATGATGGGATCTAATGCACCACTCACAGAGTCATGTCTCCAGCCAGGCCACATGTGTGCGACAGGACACGTGAGGATAGGATTGCATTAGATCCCATCCTGCCTTACTGCTGTGTGGGGCAAGCCTGATCTTGGGCTCCCCCTGCATCGACAAGCAGCTTTCCGTGACTGGGATTCCTCAGTCGAGAGGGCCCCCCCGGGCTGGGGACTGCCATCCCCCAGGTTCAG